GAAATCAAGCTTGACCAAGAAAGAGGCAGAAAATTGCCCATGTCTTCCTCAGCACATTTTAATAATGTATTTCTGTCTTATAACCTTTGAGTATGTGGTAAGAAATATGTTGTGTGGCTCATTTTATGACTTCAACGCTAATGTGTGAAACAACTGATTTGACTAATAGAGGGTCCGACTAGGTCAGGTGGTGAGGGTCGCGGATTCTAATCCCCGTCACATTAAACATGCTCGCCTTTTCAGCCGTGTAGGCGTTAGAATGTTACGGTTAATCCCACTATTCGTTGGTAAAAGAGTAGCCCAAAAGTTGGCGGTTGGTGGTGATGACTAGCTGCCTTCCCTCTAGTATTACAATGCTAAATTAGGGACGGCTAGCGCAGATAACCATCGTGTAGCTTTGCGCATAATTCAAACAAACAAACAAACAATCACTAAAGGATTACACAACTTCGAAGCTCTTGAATATAAATTATGATAACATCGATTATTCCAGTATTCATAAATTATACCTAAACTCTTTCAGACTTCTAGTTAGGGATGATTTGAGGGGATCATTAGCTTTTACTTTAGTGCAGGAGTTTGTTATTATCTTTGTTATTTCATCTAGTAATTCATACATAATAAGGATGTGGTCATAATACACAGAACGAAACTGAATACTGTTAGTGTGTTCGTAAATTAACTAAAATACTCAACAAATAAACTAGGATCGTAGGATAAATTGTTCTGGATTACGGATCTGGCGAGCCTGGTTCGAATCCGTGAGACGCAAGAAAGTATTCCCCATACTTTGAGCTGTGTGTGCGCTATAAGAGCGACAGTCAATCTTTTGTCCCCCGGTGTGTCGGCGGTAGTTTTGCAGATTAACAACGCTAAAATCAATGGGTTCGATTCCCCGTGGTGGACAGAGCGTAGATAGCTCATTGTATAGCTTTGCGCTAAAACAACAACGTGTGATATATATGTGTGTATATATGTAATCGCATTTTATAAATTGCCTATGAAAAAAAAAAATCTGTAAAAATATCTACTGCCATTGTTAAATGCACTCTGTTTTGTTTATTTCCTAATAATTAGCCCCCAGTGGCATAGCCTGTAGGTTTATAACGCTACAACCGGGTTGCGATACCCGTGGTGGGTAGACCACAGATAGCCCGTTGTGTAGCTTTGTACTTAAAAAGAAACAAATAAACGAACAAACCTAACAAATTATTTAAATTAATGTTAAAACTTAAAATACTATTAAAAATGACTCTTATTTACATTTATTTCTTTCGAAAGCAGGATTACTAAACTGAAAATTTGAGCGGAAGTGTACAAATTATAAAAACAAAGTGCTAAATAGAAAATAAAAATTCCAAAGAGGTTTCACTTACTTGTAATTTATCTTTTCAATGGAAACAGTAATCAAAATTTTAGAGTCCATATTGTAAACATGGGTTGAGTAAGTTTTACTTTTCCCCCGAGAAATTCATTGTAAGGTATAATACTTCTAAATCTTTTTGCGTTGTTTGGAACAATGGATTTGTTAACCTATATTTTATTCAGCTGTATCGCTACACGATTCGTTACAATATGTGTGTTGTGTGTGCGGTAAGTACAGAAAGAGGGATGACTCATGGTCCTGAGCAGTGATTTCTGTGGCGGAGTAGGATAACTTTAGAAAGACCGACGAACAAAGATTTGAAAATGTCATATACGCTTTTTGTTTGTTATTAGGAGCTTGGAACTGAGAAGAATAATTATGTCAGCATGAATAATTAAAACGGATAAATTCACGTACTTGCCATTTAAAAAAACTCAAACACCAAACATTTGAACAGGAAATTAATCCACTCATTCTTTACAACAGTGGGTCCACCAGGATGAAAATACTTTTGTACAACGTATGCTATGCTGATCCCTATAGCCCCCTCTCAAATAAAAACAGTCATGTCCTCCCCTTCAAAAAGAAAAAGAAAGAAAAAGGGAAACGAAACATTTTAATTTTAGAATTCTCGAAGGGGTCCATTTTTTACTTTATTGGTTACAGGATCCGAAAAAACATATAAAGCACACAACAAATTTTAAACAAAAATATCCTCAATATTACAGTTAATCCCAATAACTACCACTGGAATCTTCTGTGTATTTTACATAGAAAATGGTTGAATTCATATGGTGATGAACTACCACAGGATGTAACGATGATATCTTGGTAATAAACTATTGCACAACATAATGATGATGAACTACCACAGAATGTACTGATGATAACATGGTGATAAACTACTTCACGACACGGTGGTAATGAACTACCACAGGATGTAATGATGATATAATATTGATAAATTATTGTACAACATAATGATGATGATGATGATGAAGTACCACAGAATGTAATGATATGACGGTGACAGACTATAGCAAAACACTATAAGAATGAATTACTACGGGATTAATGATGATATGACGGTAATAAACTAATGCACGATGCGATATTGATGAATTATCATAGGATGTAACGATGATATGATGGTGATAAACTATTGTACAACATGATGACGAGGGAGTAACGATAGATTATTTATATCACATGATGTGATGATGAAGTATCATACAGTGTATGATAGCAAGGGCAAACCTTAGGTTAATACTGTTAGTAACACTTTTTTTAAACAATGAAAAAAATACCAGAATTTAACACACTTAGGAAATGATGCAAACTTTTGTTTTCGGTTTTCAAACTGTGTAAAATTTAAAAAACACCAGTCAACTTCTATATACATGCTCTAATATATCTAACTTTTTAAACTATAATTAGAAAATTGTTATCCACCTTTAGAGTAGATAATTATCTGTATGTTCAAAACACCCGTTAGGCTGACTTCAAATACGCGAATAAAAAAAATTGAAGAAAACAAACAAAAACATTAATGTCGATTTCGCAATAGAGTAGAGTAGGGGAAGAAATTACTTTAATAAAGAGATGGTCCCTAATGTTTGTGCTACATTCTGCTCTAACCTTGCTAAGTTAGGCAAGTCGTAGCTTAGTAATATGCGATTAAGCGCTTCAGGCGTGGATGATTTCTGGTTGATGCAAACTGATAAATTAATGCAAACCCTTATACATGTTTCTTTCCTGAAGTAGTAGGTACTGTTTATACGGTCTAATTAATGTTGCATAGAGAAACTAGAACTTCTTTGTGAAATGAGAATCTGAGCTCAAGCACGTTCCAAATGGTCATCAAAAATATAAAACATCAAGCCAATTTTTCCAAAGTATTACACTTAAATGCTATTCAACATTGTTCTACGCTTTCTCTTAAATCTGGAATGAATGATGGACACTTTGCACATGGAAATCTTTCATGATTTATTGATTTTTTTTCTTCTGTTAATATATTCCAAAGGCGAGAGCTTTATGATCAGTAGTTCATAATTTTCAATTGAAATATATTGTGTGTTGATTTCTCCAAATATTTTCAATCGCGGTTTTCTTTTTTTTTTGTTTTGTTTTAATATTTATTGTTAAACGTGAACTCCGGCTAGAAGAGGAAGATTATCTGCCATGACATGAGCTTACTTAGACGTTGGGGCTTCGACTCGCATTCTGCGGGTCGAGGGTTCGAATCCCGTCACAGAAAATGCTCGCCCTTTCAGTCACGGGGCATTATAACGTGACAGTAACTATTCGTTGGTAAAGGGTTGGTGGTGGGTGCTGTTGACTAACTGCCTTCTCTCTAGTCTATCATTTCTAATTAGGGTCGGCTAACACAGATAGCCCTCGAGCACCTTTGCGCGAAATTCTAGAAACAAACAAGCTAGCTGTAACTTAGAGGTCAAAAGCAAGTTTAAATTTGGAGTTTTATTGGAAACTCCATGAGGCAGAGGAAACTTATAAGTACCAAAAATTAAACACTGAGAAAAAAACAACAACAAATAATGGGATATCTGTGCTGTGCCCACTACGGATATCGAAACCTAATTGATAATACCAATAAAATTAAACACTGAGAAAAAAAAACAACAAATAATGGGATATCTGTGCTGTGCCCACTACGGATATCGAAACCTAATTGATAATACCAATAAAATTAAACACTGAAGAAAAAAAAACAACAACAAATAATGGGATATCTGTGCTGTGCCCACCACGGATATCGAAACCTAATTGATAATACCAATAAAATTAAACACTGAGAAAAAAACAACAACAAATAATGGGATATCTGTGCTGTTCCCACCACGGATATCGAAACCTAATTTTTATCGTTATAAGTCCCCAGATTTACCGCCGTGCCACCAGAGAGCAATTCCTGTTGAAAAAAAACAAAGTGAGAAAGAGCAAAATATATCACGCTGTATATGTGTTGCTCTGAGGACGGAAGATTGATGGGATGACAATATCAGTATTCTGTTCTGAAAAATACAAATAAAATATTATACTTGTCCTAAGAGTGATTTAGAATGGCGTAGTTTGTCTAAAACACACACCATTTTCCTTTTTTATTTGAAAATGAGGCCGTTTTATGTTGCTTCAGGGCCAAACATTGTTAACAAGCTCGTTTTTCACCAAGTAATAAAGATTTATTTAATCACAAGCTTTCAATTTGTTTTATCATAGGCGTCGGAAATGGAGGAAAGAACATGTTCTCGACCAACCCTAGTTTACAACTGCTAAAGGCAATATTTGGGACTGTCGTACTGGATATAGCAGATATATTGCGGTTGATATATTGTTATACA